TATATATATTATATATATATTATATATATATATTATATATATTATATATTATATATATATTATATATATATATTAATATATATTATATATATATATATATATATATATATATATATATATATACATATATATATATATATATATATATATATATGCTATATATACATGTATATATTTTTAATATATGTATGTGTATATATACATATATATATATATATATATATATATTATATATATATATATATATATATATATGTATATGAATATACATATGTATGTATGTATGTATGTGTAATATATACATATATATAACTAATAGTTAATATTTACAGATACACCAACACTCATATACAAATGAAATTAAAGAAATAAACAATGGAATACTCTTACCGTCCACCTGATGTGTATGCACTTGTATGTGTGTGTGTGTGTGTGTGTGTGTGTGTGTGTGTGTGTGTGTTGTGTGTGTGGTGTGTGTGTGTGTGTGTGTGTGTGTGTGTGTGAATATATTCTTGATTGTACTTCTGTTACCAAAACATAGCTTTCGTTCATTAGATTTATATAAGAGCGGTTGCGTATCTATAAATATTAACAAGTAGTCGTTTAAGAGGGGAAGATGCACAAGGCATACACTAGGTCGTTGTTTATGGTAAATAACTGGCATTTTTAAAACATTCTGACGCAATGAGTTATATTCTTAATATCACTTGGCAAGTATGAACCCATTACTTTTCTTCGTCTATTTTGTATTTCTATTACGGTCTATATGAAATCGCTAGTCCATTTATAGGGTAATTGGCATGACCAACGCCATCAATACCATCATTATTTTTACTTCAATAATAGATACTAATTCAGTGATACCATTCTATAATTCACTGTAGAAACAGAGGGCCCAATTTATTTCTAATTTTCATTTATCAATTTTATTATATAATACAAGATAGGTAAAAATATAAAAAACATAAATAACATTCCTAAGTTTCCTCATACTTCAGTTCAAGGAAATACAAACTTTAGAGATGAATTAAGGATTCGCAAGTATTCACAAAGTTTTGCTCATTTTACAGGCATATTACCATAACCATTCTATCTGGCACTTCATTGTCTGCAGCAGTTCCTTCCGTTCTTCCTTCTCTATTCTGTGGCATGTCCTTATTGTGACCTTACATGTTACTGCAGTTTCCTTCTCCACAAGCCTCCTCATGAATCTTATTCCTCCTGCAGGAGTGAGGCTGGAAGTGACAAGGTCCACTTCGTCGTAAGTCTGTCTGAGTCTTGAGATTGCTTCTGCTGCCCATGTTTCATTCTCATCGCTCACATTCTTTAATTTGACAGACATGTTGTTAGGCTTATTAAGTCTTGGAATAGACTTTGCACTTTCTTCCCATGGTATGTCTAGCCGGAGGGTCAACTTCATAATCACAGTTTCAGCCGGCGTAAAGGACTTGGCAAGCGCCTGTAGAGCTTCGACACTGGATAAGCGGATAAACAATTCGCCTAGGCACTGCACATTTATGAAAGCGGCAACCCCCTTAACGCCCAAATGCCCCATGAAGGCAGTCAGTTTCCCCCCAGGCAACAGGGCTGTGAGGAGGTCGTCGCCGGTCTCCGAGTTTCCCCATTCGTAATAATGTTGGTCCATCCTCAGCACGACGTGAGTGTTTGGCCGCTTGGATAAGAGCCGCAAGATGGGGAAGACATTGATGTTTTCCCTCAGCTCAGGGAGGCCACCCTTCACGGCAACATTTCCTTGGCTGACACTGCCGTAAATCCGCATCAGTACGCCCTTCGGTGCGAAATCTGTGTTCTGAAGGATTAACACCATAGGATTCATTGGATCACATAAGCTCTCGTGGTCTGGTTTCCAAATGAGTTCCAGAGATATTGCTGCACAGACCAATGCACTAACTTGCGGATGGCAGTTTGACTCTTGGATAATGCGCCACAACGTACCTATGGAGTTATTTCTGCTTCCACGTAACAAAATTTTTGTGATATTCTGCAGAATGCCTTCAGTAACCTTTTTTTCTGTGCACAGATTCCCTAATGTGAAGAGAACAGTGTTCCACCAACTGGTTTCACGAATTTTCACTAAAATGGGATCTTTAAGAAAATTGGGGAGCCTTGACGTCACATTTGAGTGATCATGAGATAAATGCCGAACTATGTGTAATGATGCTAGGTATTCCATTTGACTCTTGTGTATAAACGAGAAGGAGTAGTTTATCCCACCCACACTTTCTTTAACTTCGCACAAGAGGAATGCAGAGAGAGTCTGGACAACATCGATATTGACCTTCCGGCAAAAGGAGGTTAATTTGATTTGCTTTGCTTGTTCTATTACAAACTTGCCCTCATCAAGCATTGAAAATGCTTCTTCTGCAAGTATCATCAACCAATCATTAATGATGCCCTCTAGCTCTATATGATGAAGGGATGTTGATGCCTGAAGTCTTGAAATCAGTTTCATGATGCACAGTCTAAACAACTCAGAGAA